AGTGCTGGGATTACAGGCTTGAGCCACCGCGCCCGGCAATTAATTTGTTTTTAATGCTGGCAAGTTAGGTACACTTTGCACACCTTAGTATTTACAATTCAAAGGACATGGATATGTTTCAACATATTCCATCAGATTCCAATGCAACTTAGTTGTTTTAGAGTACAACGTTAGTGTGTGCAAACCTTCAGGAGAGTAAAACAAAGATCCAAGAGAAAAAATTCTCAGTCTGAAAGAAAAAGTCAGTTAATTTTGAAGGCAACTTTCATTTCAAAGAATATTTACCAATTCAGTGACAAGCGGACGAACACTTCCAACGTAAGAAGCCAGCTGCCGTTGTTTTAAGGTATGCAGAGTATTTTCCCTGAAAAAAAAAAAAAAAAAGTACCTACTTTTTTAAAAGGGGTAATAGGTCTATTTTTTAAAAACAAAATCAAGTTAAAGGAAGAAAGACTACAAACCCAGACAGAACATGCAAAAATTCTTAATACAGAAGTTCATCTTAGCTCAGATGACTAATGATGTTGAGGGCTTTTTCATGTCCTTATTGACCATTTATCTATCTGCTTTTGTAAGGTATCAGTTCAAATTTTTGCTTTTTTTACTAGGATTATCTTTTTAACTATTGAGTTATAATTCTTTATGAACTACACATCCCAGTCTGTGGGTTGCCCTCATTCATTTTCAGAGACAGGGTCTTGCTCTGTTGCCCAAGGCGGGAGTGCAGTGGTACAATCACGGTTCACTGCAGCCTCGATCTCCTGGGCTCAAGCGATCCTCTCACTTCAGTCCCCTGAGTAGCTGGGACTACAGACACACACCACTATGCCCAGCTAACATTTAAATTTTTTGTAGAGATGGGTTACCAGTATATTTCCCTGGATGGTCTCAAACTCGTGGTCTCAAGCAATCCTCCAGCCTCAGCTTCCTAAAGTGCTGGGATTACGGGGGTGTGAGCCACCACACCTGGCCAATGGTATTTTTTTTTAATGATACATCTTTAATTTTGATAAAGTCAAAACAATTTTTTCTACTGTTGCTTTCTATGAGCTAAGAAACATCTATCTATTCTCACGTTACTAGGATATCTTCCTATGTTTTCCTTGAAAAGCTTTATGTTTTTTAGCTACTACATTTAGGACTATGACACAGGTTGAATAAATTGTTGAGTGTGGAGCGAGGGAGCTGTAAAGGTTAATCTTTTTTCTCACAGATATCATTTTTCTGCAGTTTGTAAAAAAGGCATTCCATTCCCTGCGGGATTGCTTTGATGTCTTTGTTGAAAACCAGATGACCGTATCAGTGTGAATCTGTTTTGGGGTTCTCTGTTCTGTTCTACTAATCAGCAAAAAAAGATTAACTTACAGGTATTGATCGACTTACGACCTACGCAACTTACGATCATTCGACTTTACGACCACAATCGCTAGCCATGACTGCTTCGCGTCTGGCAGCGCAAACGTTGCCCAGCTGGGCATACGACAGTGCGGACCAGCTTCTGGCAGCACTGCACTACCATCTCCGAGTGCATATAGCCTACTCAACTTACAACCAAATCGTGTTACGACCGGTCTGTCGGAACCAAATCGTGGTCGTAAGTCGAGCACTAGCTGTATTAAAAACTGTAAAAACCTAACTGGGCATTTTAACTAAGAATAAAACAAAACAAAAAAAACGTATTTCCTGAAAATGAAAACGTCCTTTCAGAAAAAAAAAATCACAATCTTAAAAGTTAAGATTTATTTTTTAACAAATGCTGAATAACCGTAATTTCCTAGCTAAGCAGAGAAAATATATAATTAACTTATAAATTTTTAAACACGTTACTGAATTCAAAGACAATCAGACCTTTTTTTTTCTTTTTTTTGTGAGTGAGAAGTTTTGCTCTTTTTGCCCGGGCTGGAGTGCAATGGCATGATCTCGGCTCACTGCAACCTCCACCCACTGGGTTCAAGTGATTCTCCTGTCTCAGCCTCCCAAATAGCTGGGATTACAGGCGCATGCCACCACACCTGGCTAATTTTTGTATTTTTAGTAGAGACAGGGTTTCACCAGGTTGGCCAGACTGGTCTTGAACTCCTGACCTCAGGTGATCCACCCATCTCCGCTTCCCAAAGTGCTGGGATTACATGTGTGAGCCACTGCACCCGGCCGCAATCTGACCTTTTAAAAATCTTTTGCAAGTCTTGAAATAAAATGTCCCTTTAACTTAGGAGAGCTTTCTGATTTTAATTCATGGATGCGAAACCAATAAATACAGAGGGCCAACTGTATATTTGCAAATTAGCTATCTAACTCTTTTAAACAATGACAAATTCCATAAAGGAGAGGTATTTGTTTTGCTCACACACTGAACAAAGTAAAAACTGAATAACGAAAGATGAATGAACAATATCAACATTAAGTGACTTCAAGAATAAAAGCTCGGTAACTTACCAATATACTGATTTTGCATAAAACTCAATATTATCAGAAAATTCTCCAATTTCATCTTTGGCAATACTCTCTAACCAATCTACCACCAGCTAAGAAAGAAAGGGAGAAACAGATTAGTGTTAACTACAAAATCTATCTGTGTTTTATTTGTAATGGCACTACTACCCTTAATTCAAATAGTTTCTGATTTCAAAAATATCAAGTAACAATTTTTCCAAACATTATTTTTACTTTTTTAAGATAAATAAATATTATAGCAAAAGAATAAAATTTTCTATAGAAATAATAGTTTTTAACAAGCTATTCCTGAAAATACTAGGGCTATTACTTAAAAATCAAAGAATAAGAAGAAGGTTTCTAATTCCTTTTAATTACAAATAAAAAGATCAAGTACAAAAAAATTCAGAAAAAAGTTTTAAGTTAAAAAAAACTTCAGTACTTTGGATGTCATTAACTTTTTCTCCATATTTCATAAAAAATATTTTAAAATTCTAGTCATACCTGACTTTGTCGAACAAGTGAATCTCTCTGAAATAATGCTTCCACAACTGTTTTTTCACTGGCATTAAGAGTCTATTACAACAAATATTGAAAGAATAAAAAGAAATAAGATGTTGTAAGAAATATTATTTCAACAGAAAGATAAAAACCAGTAAGAAACAAGTACAGTTAATCACCTATAGATAAACATTTTACCACATAATAAATCTGTGTATTCATCATTGAAAAGTATACATTGTATAAATTCCAAACGGCTACATCAATTTGCAGCTGCTCTTACCTATTTTTTTTCTTTTTTTAGGAGATGGAGCCTCTGTAGCCCAGGCTGGAGTACAGTGGTGCGATCTTAGCTTACTGCAACCTCTGCCTCCCAGGTCCCGGTTCAAGCAATTCTTCTACCTCAGCCTCCCAAGTAGCTGGGATTACAGGCACGAGCCACCATGACCAGCTAATTTTTGTATTTTTTTT